ACCAATAAGTCAACGCCGGATATAATACATTTTTATTTGTTCAATATACGTTAAATGATTATATTGTGTCTGCTTTTGATACACATTAATTTTATTATGAGGAACGGCCACTTGATAGCTGAATTGTTCCCTATAACTGATAGTCGTGCTGACACGTGACGAATGCTTACAAACATTAATTGCCGACGCGTGCGCTGATTGCCATTTAGTTTGCTTCGGACTTGCATTGTTCTTGAAGTTACGATTGTGTTGGTGTCGGCGTTCATTGATTAATTGTGAACTTTTTTGCTATTCGTATTGATTTTAATTTAGACCTAAATTGTTGGAGCTTGTATATTTTGTCTCATTTTCTGGTTTATGGTTTCTACGAATGCATAAAGAGTTTAATTTTGTGCATATTGTCCATAGTATCGACTTATGTGTACATTTATACATAGAAATTGTTGAAGCTTGTGCAGCTTATTAATTTAAGTAAATTGAGTACAAAGAATCCCATTGAAACCTCTGCAATTAATTATTTCTTCTGGTAACCTTTATTCTGGTTGCTTCTGTTCTCACTTGTCCTCATGACGGCGATGTGGGGCTCGCACTCTCTCCTGATATCGCAGTCATCCTGAAGGAGACAAAAGTATCCGAAGACCTTTAAATTCTTACCGAACAAATACAATACAAGTTTTACAAGCACCTTAAAACTTATGAACGTCTTGCAATTTACAATCAACATTAAACGATCGATCACCATTCAACTAAAGTTCATCATGCAACCTAAAATTAACATAAAACTCAAGATCAGCATTAAAGTTTAGATCGCAGCAAGCGGTAGAAGAGAGCAGCCGCAGCTCCTGACACATGGCCGCGGATACGAGCCTGGCGGCGACCTGCGCGTTGAAGTCTCCAGCGATATTTCACGCTCTGCTTTGGATCGACAATCTGCACTGCACTCACAGAAATAAGCGAAACTTTGTACAAATAGCGATAAGTTTTTTGCCTGTGTCAACCATACCCACTTTGGTGCGGTGACAGGGTAGGATCAGTGTTACGTGTAGAAGGTATATCCATTATTTTGACAATTCGACAAATTCATTTTACAGTGTGTAAAAACTTTCTTACAGTGAGCGTAAGAATGAAGTTGAAGTCAAGTTGGTGAAAGTTCTGTTTGTTGAATGCAAGAAATTGGTCGGCGTCCCACTGTGCAAAGATCTAATGAAGTGATATAAAAAGTTGTACATTTGTACAAGTCCCTGCAGTTATCACTCCTCAGTTTACAAGTCTGAGCATCAATGCCGTATTTAATCTAGGGCGAGAATTAATTTGCTGGCTGCAGAATAAAGGAGCAGCTTGCATCAGAAAGCTGGGCGTTAACTCCTGATTTACGAGCGAGTGTCCCTGATAATTTCTTTATATTGTTAGTAGCATCGAACCATTAATTGCACCAGTATCTGATATAAGAATTACATTACCGCGAAGAAAAGACTTTGTCTGTCGGCCTGCACGCTCGGATAATTTTTAGCTGCTCTCTATTATAATAAATGGGAACCAGGGCATTGTTTTAATAAGTGATATCTTATTAGGGCTTTCCGTCCTTCTACGTGCCGAAAATCAATTGATCAATTATTGTTTTATATAACGAATATATATACGAATAGCAAACCTCTCTGACATTCAAAAAGACCAAATTATTTGTGCCTGTATGGCAGGTGCTAGTGTGACAGAAACTTCTCGAATGCTTGACGTTGATGGAGGTACTGTCTCAAAAGTAATGACTGCTTTTGAAAGAGAAGAAAAAACGTCATCAGCCAAGCACAGATCTGGCCGAAAGTAGAAGTTGTCTGAGAGAGACCGTCGGTACCTAAATCGAATAGTGAGAGACAATCGAAAGACCACGGCTGTTAAAATTACTGCAGACCTCAATATGGACGGACACCTACAGAATGCAGTTTCCGTGAAGACTGTCCGCTGAGAGCTACATGTGCGCGTACAGATATGGAATCTATGGAAGAGCTGCAATTAAAAAACCTCAGGTGTAGGGTGGTGTAAAAATTTCCAGAATTGGTCCCTCGAGCAGTAGATGAATGTGATTTTCTCTGACGAATCATCGTTTACCTTAATTCCAACCACTGCCCGAGTTTACGCTTGGAGAAAGCCAAAAGTCATTAAATCCCGACTGCCTCCTCCCAACCGTAAAACATGGTGGATGTGTGATGATCTGGGTGCCATTTCTTGAAGATCTTGCGGACCAATGATTTCTCTTCATTGAAGAGCCGGGACTATTTAGTAATTTTTGAGGACCAATTTCATGAAATGGTTCAAGCATGTTTACGGAGGGAATCACCATCTTTCAAGCTGAAAATGCCCCGGTTAATAGAGCTAGAATTGTAAAAAAATGGCACGAGGAACATTCTAATGAAGTTGAGCATCTCATTTGGCCACCACAATCACCAGACCTTAATACTAACCAGCAATTATTATCGATTTTAGAGATGCAAGTCTGAAGTCGATTCCCGCCGCCATCGTCTTTAAAAGCATACAGGTGGGAGATTTAACTGAAGAATGGGTTAAAATTCCTTTGGAAAAAATTTACAAATTGTATGAAGTAAATACCTCGGAGAACTGCGGCTGTAATTTCAGAAAAAGGTAGACCCACACCATACTAAAATATATTTTGTGAATTTCTCAGGTGTTTCCCTTATTTTGTCAAACCCCTTTATACACTAATATATCATGTATATATTAGCCATTGCGTTACGTAGACAAATTTTTGGCCCCAACAGTTAATTGGTATTGGGCCAGGTTTTGTTAATTGAATTGTAAATATTCTAGTTTTTATAGAAGCAAGTAGTGTTAAAAGTCAAATCTGACTCAGCACTTGGATATTGAGGATCATTTTCTGCAGCTGTATCATCACAGCACAGTAACAAATTTACTGATCAAAATTTTGAAAGAAAAACATTACTATAATCACCACTCAGTATTCGAAGAATTCTTTTAATTTTATAATGAAAAACCGTACCTTTCTTTTTCTGAACTTTATTAGTGTATTTTTCGCTCAAGTTTGATGTATTCAAAAAGTACACTCGCTGGAAAATACAACCTAAATTGAAATTAAATTTTCGAATTCTCAAGTGGTAATCACTTTCCAATATAGCAGTCAAATATTTAGTTGTTGACTGATTTACCCTAATCTTTAAAAGTGTGTGTCATGGCGATATTTTTTTTTTACATCGGAGGCCGCACTAGACCTGTTTATCAAGGAAGCATGTCTCCAACAATTATCCCGATTATCTTCAATTTTTTATGTGTGGAGAGAGTGCGAACTTTTATCTCTTTAGCTCTCGTTTGTTTTCAATGTTATTGCGCGAGACGGAGTCTGGCTGCCGTGCATATCATATGCTAATTTGTGATTCGTACAATTACTATGCGAACTGCGACCAATTGATTAACTTTGCCACTCCGTGTTGACTGAGTGGCGAACGCTTAAGGGGATCGGCTACCCTAAAATTTGAAAATTTTGAGTTTTTCTGTTTCTTATCTCATCTTAAAGGTTGTTTTCTTGCGCATCGAACGGTATAAGTATCGTCCCTGTACGTCGAAAAATGACTTTGTGACAGCTCCTCAAAGGGAGACGGGTTTTAGGTCCCTTAACAAAACTCTACGAGGATAAATGACGCGCTGGTCACTCCACAAAGGACGGCCTGGCATTAAGCAGCCAATCATGGCACTAAAGTGGGCATAGTCTTGTTTGAAAGAGCACTTTCTTACGCATCGATTGGTGGTACACCCATCTTTGTACCTCCATTTTCTACTGCACCACGCCCCATAGAACGGGGGAGGGGGGGGTGGGGTCGGCCTATAGTAATTCCTTAGGCAATAATTAAGGGGCGTGACTACTAAAACTGCGAGCTGAAGCCAAACCTCTCAGTGCCCATCATGACAGCGACGTGAAAGGTGTGCAGCCAGTTGCTCCATGCCTTCCTGACTTGGTTTAAGGCTAAGTTACGGTATCTTGGCTGCGTTGCGACTCTTTTATGTCTATTTAAGTGCCGCGCGGGCAGTCTTTCGGCCGCACTGAAAACCTCATACTGCTCTCACGGCAAATCTATCTCCTCCTACAGTTTTCAAGCTACAGCAATGAGACATATACCATTCGATTCGTAAAGACCAGGCCTATCGACACTAACATCACCTTTTTGAATTTCGGTCTGGTTCGTTTTTTATATGGGGGAGAAGGGGGGGGGGAGGGGTGAAAAATGAGAAAAAAATGGGAAAAATGGAAAAAAACGCAATAAAAAAAACTAGATGGAAAATGAAAAAAGTGATGTGAGAGTCAATAGATATGGACTTTACGAATCGATTGATACGTATCTCGATGTTGTAGGATGATATTTGTGGGAGGAGATAGATTTTCTACAGTACCCTTTTTTAGCCGTTTTCTATGAATTTCACGTTTTCTATCATTTTTTTCGAAAAATTTATATGAGCAAAATGTTTTTCTTTTTACATTTTACGTATGTATGTGAAGTTTCATGACAATCGGATAATAACTGTAGAAGTTTTCCGTAGGGGTAGCCGATCCCCTTAACTTCAGCCACTTAGTGAGTGGTGATATTTCCTTTCGGTAAGCAAGACATTCCATTTCAATTCCGATTATTTCTGTGGCCAATTGTTTTCTTAATCGATGTATTTTTTATTTTTTAACTAATTAAAATTAATAACTTTAAATAATTTCGTAAAAGTACTCATAATTTATACATGAAATTCCCGGTGCGTAATAATTACCTTATGCGTTTATAATTTGTAATCAATTACTTAATAGAAAAATGCTTTGAGGAAAGCCTTGATTAGTGAAAGTTAAGCTCATACGAAAGTGAATATATCCAACTTAACAGTGGATAACAAATTTCTTATCAGCCACAATGTTGTTGATCAGCTGACAAAGACGCGTGGCGATAAGAGCTGAGGCGCGACATATCCTGAGAGCTATTGAGTCGTCCTGCCTCCAGCGCAGCGTCCGCTAGCATTTGTCTCGCGTCTCGAGCGTCGTCCTGAGCCTCGTCTGGACTCGCGTCTCGAGCGTCGTACTGAGCCTCGTCTGGACTCGCGTCTCGAGCGCCGTCCTGAGCCTCGTCTGGACACGCGTCTCGAGCATCGTCCTGAGCCTCGTCTGGACTCGCGTTTCGAGCGTCGTCCTGAGCCTCGTCTGGACCCGCGTCTCGAGCGCCGTCCTGAGCCTCGTCTGGACACGCGTCTCGAAGTCTGGACTCGCGTCTCAAGCGTCGTCCTGAGGCTCGTCTGGACTCGCGTCTCAAGCGCCGTCATGAGCCTCGTCTGGACTCGCGTCTCGAGCGTTAATTGATTTACAAAAATTACAATATTCAATATTGAATTCAAAATGATTCTCAACAATTTATTGAGAAAAATATTTACAATAATATTTCTAATAATCTGGGGGTGATAACTGATGTAACTTATGCGGATGCAACTGATGCATGTGTATGCAATGTGGATGTATGCCACGCAATGATTGAATTTAATAACGTATTTACTAATTTACACCATAACATTATTTACAAATAATGGTATTTACCCCACAATGATTGAATTGCGTGGCAAATTTTCAAGTTTATTTGAAGTTGCCTTCAAAATTCCGCAGGTCATGGATTGCCGTGTTAAGAGTCAGAATGACTAATGCAAACAAATTTTCTCTTCTGCGCTTGAAATACTTTTTGTCTCTTATTTGATTTGCTCGATTTTATAAATATCATTATTATGATAGCAGTTCGGAAATTGTTCAAATTAAGGCTCGTTCCATTAATTAAGGAGTGGTTCAATTAGGGAGATAGAACATTCATGATAATGCTTCTTTGGATCACTTGGATGTGGTCGCATCTTCGAATTTGATTACCACTTTATTTTTTAAAGTCTACATTAGTAGAATAATTGAAATAATAAAATATATTATTTGTCTGAATATTGTAGTCGTTCTTATGTCAAGAATTTATCGGTAAACTTGAACGGCAAAACAAACAAGCTTGCCTGGAAGGCTGGGAAAACTTGTAAAATATTTCAAGCAGTTATCCATAGAAAATAGGTTTTCTTCGTTCATACCGAAGAAAACTTTCAAGCTAAAACTTTCTAAAATATAAAGATCTGATGAAAACCATACGAACTTGTCATAGATATAACGGCGATTTACATTAGCCTTGAATATGTTTCAAGCCAAGTAATAGGATGAAAATTGTCTTACTTTGATCTTCTGCAGAGTCGCTTGGGTTCAAATGCAGCCCTGAATCAACGACGTGAAAACTACTAAAAATTCAGTGAAAATTTCACTGTTTTCATATTGAAAACTTTAAAATTCAATTGCGACTATATATACATTGCATTTATTTGATTGTGCATTTAGAGTGCTTATCAACCAAATGCAGTCAATAGACATCGGGCCGTGCACCAACCATGATGGTATTCACCTCGTAATGTTCTTCATAGTTAATGACGAATCTTAAATGTTAGTCATGGTCAGAGGAGCTCAATAATATGACTTCCTACAAGTATTCGCCATCCAGAGGTGGACAGTAGCGCGCTACATGTAGCGGCCGCTACATTTTCAGTAGCGGTAGCGGTAGCGGTAGCGGTAGCGGTAGCGGCGCTACATTTAAGGCAATGTAGCGGTAGCGGTAGCGCCCGCTACATATTTAAGTAGCGATACGAGGTTTTGCCGCTACAGCGCTACCGCTACATTTATAGATAAAGCTTTTAGATTTACTTAATAGCATTAAATATTATTTTAAAACCAGCATGATACATACATAATATTAATTACAGAATAAAACTGTACGAAAGATTTCGGTGTAATGTTGTCAACCTCAGCCTGTTACTAGTGTCAACATGTTAGTTGTTACTTGTTAAGTTGTCACCTGTTACCACTTACAGGTATTTTTCATGTTTCCGTTTGCTTACAGTTATTTTTATGTTTCACCTTCCCTACATGGATGTCTACTTTAATCGACCAATTTAAAAAATAATCCACATTATATATACTAATAAAAGACTGATTTTTATATGTATATGTCATAATATGTGGATAATTTTTGAGATTGGTAGATTATAGTAGACATCCATGCATGTAGGGAAGATAAAACAAAAAAATAACTGTAACTTTTATTTACTGTATCTAACCCGAACTAGTTCGGTTAGGTTAATTGCAATAAAGTTGCATTGATATGTCTTGAAAATGTTTTATAATCATTAAATGTTTATGAGTAAATCCCAATAGCAGAACAATAAATATTTAGAGATTTCCAATAATTTTGGCCATTGTAGCGACTAATGTAGCGGCGCTACATTTTACTGTAGCGGTAGCGCTCGCTACAATCTAGTGGGTGTAGCGGTAGCGTTAGCGCCGCTACATTTCAAAGTAGCGCTGCCCAGCTCTGTCGCCATCAATCATTTCATTTCATAGTCATCTGCCAATCAAATGATGATTATCTGGGCTGCAAACCACTTGAATAACTCAATCGTTATACGGACATAAACCTTCCATTCTTTACGATATGAAATAATATTTAATTTGTTCTGCAGTGATGTGCGTAAAATGTTTCCTCGCAACTGATTAATTTGTATAATATTTATAGTTAGTATAGACTTCCAATGCTAATGTGGGCTTTAACGATGATTTAACCATAAAAATGTGTATTCAGCTCGTTGAATATCACATTTGAGAGGGAGTGTGAGGGGGGTGGGGCACAAGAGGAGTGTGGGGGTGGGGAGAGAGGGGTGTGGTATGGCATGTTTATGGTCGTGTTTTGGTCGGCAATGCTAATGCTGGTCATGCCTGGCGTTATCATGTGTGTGCTATAACCCTCGTCCTCTGCGTGGCCTTCCCTCACTTGCTTTCCCTCGCGCTACTGCAACAAAAACATCCTCTCTATGACGTCGCTTCCCTCATTTAATAATTTATTGCTTTAAAAAAATTACTGCTGCTCTGCAGGACTTACCCAGACTCTAGAATTACTGCAGAATTTGCTACACAAAACTTCTGGTAATTTAAAATAAACAAGACTAAGCTGTTTCACTAAGATCCTCAACATCGCAAGGTTTGAAGTATGGGTAGGTTTGTGAAGGTTAATTCTTTCTTCATTCAAATGTTCATCATCATTATTAAATGTGTATTCATCTATACGGCGCGTTAAATGTAGCGCTCGGTAAATTGTGACGTAAATGATGTAAAGATGTGACTTCCCATCTAATAACATCAGCTCATATGAATCACATCAACTATTGGATTACAAATTGCCTATCATATAATTTGTTTATTTCATGTGTGTGAATAACGTGCAGGATAATAGATATTATTATAAGTTAAATCTGTTAATTTAATGCAATAGAATCCCCATACGTGAACATAAGTCAAAAATTGCTTTTTATGTAAGTTATGTATTCATAATTTGAAGCGATGTTTCTGCTCAACCTCGTCGCGTGGGTTTAACCGGTTTTGCCCATCACCGCTAATGAATTATTATGAAGCAAACATGAACTAAATTCCATGAATTACAACAAACTTCACTAAATACTCATCGACATTCCCGCCGCACACGAGGAGTGTGAATGTCACCACACAGCGCCAGGAATGTGTGGAATGAGCCGCCGCACATTCCTGGAATGACTGAGGAATTTTGACGATCGCGGGTAAGGCGAGTGTAAAAAAACTGGTTATTGCATTGCCGTTATTTTATTGCGAGTCGTCGGGGAGATGCGCTAAAATAACGGCAACATGCGCCTGAACTCATATGTTATTAGTGCGCGCCGTGTTGGTGAGGCTTCAATTGTGTTGTGTTGATCATGTTTGAATATTCTTATATGTATATTTTCATAATATTATTCAAATCATTGAAATAATATTAATAAATTATCCGATTTTTATAAATAGTGTCGCAAATGCCAAAGACTGCCGCAATATATTGGATGCATCTACCGTCAACCAATTAAAGTTGTTCCATTACATTTTGAGAATTTTCTTACCTTTAAATCGTGTTTTTTATATGGTAATAAAATAGCTCTATTGGAGTCGATGAAGCGTTGACTTGTTAGTGATTTAGGCTTCGGCCTGATGCCATTTTCTGGCGGTTCTGTTGAAAATTTTGTTTCCGCGTGGTCATCTGTCCCTGCTCAGCAGTTAGTCCAGCTCATCTCCTTGTGCTCTCCCTGCTCAGCAGTTAGTCCAGCTCATCTCCTTGTGCTCTCCCTGCTCAGCAGTTAGTCCAGCTCATCTCCTTGTGCTGTTCCTGCTCAGCAGTTAGTCCAGCTCATCTCCTTGTGCTGTTCCTGCTCAGCAGTTAGTCCAGCTCATCTCCTTGTGCTGTTCCTGCTCAGCAGTTAGTCCAGCTCATCTCCTTGTGCTGTTCCTGCTCAGCAGTTAGTCCAGCTCATCTCCTTGTGCTGTTCCTGCTCAGCAGTTAGTCCAGCTCATCTCCTTGTGCTGTTCCTGCTCAGCAGTTAGTCCAGCTCATCTCCTTGTGCTGTTCCTGCTCAGCAGTTAGTCCAGCTCATCTCCTTGTGCTGTTCCTGCTCAGCAGTTAGTCCAGCTCATCTCCT